AAAAAAAATAAACCATATGGTTTCTGCATGTTTTATGACCATAATGATTGTAGGGCCCCCCTCTTCTTCCTGAATGTTTTCAATTTACACAAGTCAGACACTGGATTGCTTTCTTTGAGACAATGGTCTTTCTACTTTACTGACCATTTTTGAACACACCTGTCATTATAACCCCCTGGCTTTCAAACTCATCTCCTTAGTATATTCCAAATTCAATCACCTATCTGTACTAACTGATCATACAGTACCTACAGTCAGGTCCATAAATATTGGGACATCGACACAATTCTAACATTTGTGGCTCTATACACCACCACAATGGATTTGAAATGAAACGAACAAGATGTGCTTTAACTGCAGACTGTCAGCTTTAATTTGAGGGTATTTACATCCAAATCAGGTGAACTGTGTAGGAATTACAACAGTTTGCATATGTGCCTCCCACTTGTTAAGGGACCAAAAGTAATGGGACAGAATAATAATCATGAATCAAACTTTCAATTTTTAATACTTGGTTGCAAATCCTTTGCAGTCAATTACAGCCTGAAGTCTGGAACGCATAGACATCACCAGACGCTGGGTTTCATCCCTGGTGATGCTCTGCCAGGCCTCTACTGCAACTGTCTTCAGTTCCTGCTTGTTCTTGGGGCATTTTCCCTTCAGTTTTGTCTTCAGCAAGTGAAACGCATGCTCAATCGGATTCACGTCAGGTGATTGACTTGGCCATTGCATAACATTCTAGTTCTTTCCCTTAAAAAACTCTTTGGTTGCTTTTTCAGTATGCTTTGGGTCATTGTCCATCTGCACTGTGAAGCGGCGTCGAAGCATTTGGCTGAATATGAGCAGATAATATTGCCTGAAACACTTCAGAATTCATCCTGCTGCTTTTGTCAGCAGTCACATCATCAATAAATACAAGAGAAGCAGTTCCATTGGCAGCCATACATGCCCACGCCATGACAGTACCACCACCATGCTTCACTGATGAGGTGGTATGCTTAGGATCATGAGCAGTTCCTTTCTTTCTCTATACTCTTCTCTTCCCATCACTCTGGTACAAGTTGATCTCGGTCTCATCTGTCCATAGGATGTTGTTCCAGAACTGTGAAGGCTTTTTTAGATGTTGTTTGGCAAACTCTGATCTGGCCTTCCTGTTTTTGGGGCTCACCAATGGTTTCCATCTTGTGGTGAACCCTCTGTATTCACTCTGGTGAAGTCTTCTCTTGATTGCTGACTTTGACACACATACACCTACCTCCTGGAGAGTGTTCTTGATCTGGCCAACTATTGTGAAGGGTGTTTTCTTCACCAGGGAAAGAATTCTTCGGTCATCCACCACAGTTGTTTTCCGTAGTCTTCCGGGTCTTTTGGTGTTGCTGAGCTCACTGGTGCGTTCCTTCTTTTTAAGAATGTTCCAAACAGTTGTTTTGGCCACGCCTAATGTTTTTGCTATCTCTCTGATGGGTTTGTTTTGTTTTTTTCAGCCTAATGATGGCTTGCTTCACTGATAGTGACAGCTCTTTGGATCTCATCTTGAGAGTTGACAGCAACAGATTCCAAATGCAAATAGCACACTTGAAATGAACTCTGGACCGTTTATCTGCTCATTGTAATTGGGATAATGAGGAAATATCACACACCTGGCCATGGAACAGCTGAGAAGCCAATTGTCCCATTACTTTTGGTCCCTTAACAAGTGGGAGGCACATATGCAAACTGTTTTAATTCCTACACACGTTCACCTAATTTGGATGTAAATACCCTCAAATTAAAGCTGACAGTCTGCAGTTAAAGCACATCTTGTTCGTTTCATTTCAAATCCATTGTGGTGGTGTATAGAGCCAAAAATGTTAGAATTGTGTCGATGTCCCAATATTTATGGACCTGACTGTATGTAGCAAAATGGGAGGAAGAATTAAAGCTCATAAATCTGCAAAAGACTGGCAAACCCCCTGGTCCACTACAGCTTCCTACACTATCAATTTTACTACTCTTGAATCGGCCTAATAACAAGGTGATATCTGGTCCCATCCAGACTGGCCCATATATTTCCTGGCCATGCGGAATTATGCCTTAGGTAATGCCACACTGTCAGTAACATTCTTCATATATGGTGGACCTGCCCATTGCTGGATTCATTCTTCACCAGGGTTTTCTCTCACTCCTATGCACAATAGTCAGAGTCCAAACCCCTAAGGACCCTTGGCTAGCCTCCAGGTATTACTAAATATCAGTTTAAACTGGTCCATTTTGTTTTACTGGCCTATAAGCTAACAATTTCCAAAGCATGGAAAAAGCAATTTACTAGCTTAAGGGCTAATGTGTGTAGGCAATTGTTCTCTGTAAAGTACTGCGTAAGGTGTCATCAAGCTAGATAAATCGGTGTAGCTCGTCACTTTTACATTTGAGCCCCACATCTGTGCACTGGTGTTTGGGGACCCTAGATGGCTTTTTTCTATTGTCCCCTTGTACCTTAAACAGGGCTTCCAAGAGATTTCAAATGAATATCTTGGTGAACAAAATATTTGTATGAGCCCATTCAGGGTCGTGACACATATGGTATATATCTCTAAAATAAACAGATGACTAAGCAATGACTGTACCAAGCGGTCCAGTACAGGTAAACAATGCATTTGTGACCTGCATTTGGGATGTCATTAACTTAACATTAACACCCCCTGTGGATTGCAACTGCAAATACAGTGTGGGAAACACTCACACAACATGGGTTTCCTGCACTGCGTTCTGATGTGAACAGACACTTAAAATCGACCGAACCAGGAGGGAAATCAGATGTAGCCAGTGTTTCTGTATTCAGGCAGCCACTGGTGCAGTGGCTATCTGAATACAATAGTGTGAATGGATTATTTTAGTAAATCTAAAGCAGTTAAAGCAAAGTGTAATATGTATGGCCCAATTCCAGAAGACATTTGACATGATTTTATCTGCTGGTCTTTGGAAATTGTATACAGGTCATTCAACTGACACTGTAATACAAGAGACCTAAAAAATACTCCTTAATTGGGGATACTCAGGATCAGGGGCGGACTGACAACTCATGGGGCCCCCAGGCAATAGGGGATCATGGGGCCCCTGTGTCCTTGCCCAAACTCAAAAAAGCCTATGACCTATGGCCCCCTACTGACCCCGGGCCCTCGGGCCTGGCCCGAGTTTCCAAATGGTCAGTCCGCCCCTGCTCAGGATACAGTGAAGTAGCTTACATTTTTAAAAGCTCAAGCTTGTGAATTCTCATTGTGTACCTAAGTTTATTATTTATTCAATTCCACCTTTACAAATCTGACATATCTGAAAATGACACTAGTAGAACCGATGTTTGTTATGGAAATTTCCATTTACAAAGTTGCTATACAGAGAATCAGAAGTTGATTTACCTAAATAGAAGAGGTCGTTCACCTATTCATCTTGCTAAATAACTAGTCTCTACTGTATATTTAGTAAATCAGCACCCATGCGGTGCTAGTGTGTATTATACATTTTCCAATTAGAGGAAGCAGTAAATGTGTTTACAACGTCCTTCCCTCTTCAATGAGAAAATAGAAGGTTTGTGCAGAGATTCAGATATATTGGAAAATCTCTGCGATAAAGTAGTGCACATTTGCTGCTATTGCATCCTATGGTAGCTCTATATGGCCCAGTCTGCACCCACATATCTAATTGGATCATCAAAAGGGGTTTAGGTAAGCCATTTTTTCCCTCTATTAATAGAATGTAATTTCCAGCAGACAGAGCTGCCTTCAGTCTCTGCTGTTACAGGCCAACAAACCTGTTCCCTCACTATCAATAAACTGTGACAACTGAAGTGACAGCCATGGATGAAATAGGACATAAAGCAGTTAAATAATACCATTCACCAGTTAATTATAACATGTAAGCTTTTAAATCCACTACAGCACACATCTAATGCTCATTTTTGATACTCCTCAATAAATGACTTATACAGCATGTACAAGTGCACCGTGTTTTCATATAGCCAGAGCCAGGAAATTATAAGTGAACGTCACAACATGTGCCAAAAGCCCATTTTTGGCATTTTTATATACAAACACTCAAGATTCTTTAGCAAGCCATAGATATTTTTAAAGGTTCATATTTTAAATTGATTTAATTAGTTAATACTTACTATTATTTAAATTTGGCTTTTAAAGCACCATTATCACAAATAAAACCCTACCAGCTAGTAATTATGATGATTAAAAAATCATTTTTTGTACACTGGCAATTGTTTCTCATGAATTTTATATGTATTTGTAGGTTTTAAAGAAGAAAATTGATAGTTTAGAAAAGAAAGTAGGCACAGAACCCCAGAAAACTGCTAATATTTGTGAAGCAATTTGTGAACTGCAGAAACATGTTAGTGAATTTAATAGTGTGGTGCAAGATTACAAAGTCTACCTTGAAATGGCTGAAGACCTACAACATGTAATGGAGGAGGTAAGGAGTGTTTTGATGTTTCTATAACATTTAAAGGGTCAGTTCACCCCAAACTGATATATCAGGTTTGGGTCTATGCTAGTGTGTTGACTTCTCCAGTAGTGTCCAGCCTCGTATACCACTTAGGGACATTGGCAGCAAGATCTTTGCTTTGTGCTTCCACATCTGTCCAGCTGCTGCAGCCGTTATGAGGGAGTGACTCTTTCGCTTTGATTTTTCACTTTTCGCATGACAGAAGTCAGCAACAGCAAACTGATCTCCCACAACTGCAGCTGCATCAGGGTAGTAGGAACTTCAGGGGCTGATCTCTCTGCCAGTGTCCACAAGAGACAAAAGTTGGCGGAAATTCACCTTACTAGCATCCAACAAAAATACTACTCTTCATTGTGCATTCTGATTCAAACAAACTAGCAATAACCTCTAACAAAATATATTATTCATGTCTTTTTAATAAAAGAGTCAGTTTTGGTGTGAAGAAGCCTGTGCAACAGTTGTGCGAGTGGGACGTTACTCTGCAGAATGTAAAACCAAGGAAGCAGTAGAGGTACTTTTAAAGCAGTTTAACAAGTTTGTGGAGCCTACACTACCACAGCAGGAAGAGAGAATACAGCAGATGATCAACATTGCAAAACATATTTATGGTAAGAATTTTATACTTTCTAGGGTTCAAATATTTAAGCCTTGTGGACTTGGCAAAGAAAAAACCTTTCTGTGCCCCCACAAGTTCAGCTAGATCTTTATAAAGGTTCTGACTACTATTTCTATATAAAAAATCTAACGTTGGACCATATACTGTATATATATAGCATCCTCCTAGATGCTAGGTTTAGTAAATTTAGTTACTGGCTCACTGTAATCAGTTGAGCAGCATTCGATTACTTTGGTCTGTTTTGTGTTTCAGTGGCTGCAGGGTTGGCTGCTTCTTCCTGTCTGTCTGGAGGGTTCTGGAAGAAAATGGACTGGGTCAAATAAGCAGCAGAATATTTATGCAGCTCTCGCCAATCCCTGGGGAGTGGTGCCCAGTATGTGACTGGGAGGGATCATAATTTGCCAGAGGCTTTAAACAGAGGGGTTCTTATCCTAGAGGAGGAGATCCCAGACTGGAGGGCTGCTGTCCTTCTGGGCAGACCGGCCATAGTTCTGCTGCTTACCGAGGTCCCAGCTATGCTGGCAGGGGGACCTATTCTGCTGAAATTCATGGGATCTAACTGACAGGTTTGCTTTTGGAGATCTGGTCTGAAGAATTCACAGGAGAGGGTGTATGGAAGATAATGGAAGGAGGCATCCAATTACCTAAGGGCATTAGTGAGTACAGACCAGTGTGAGAGATTCCAGTGACCATGTTACCTAAAGGGACATTGTGTTTGGTGTGTCAGTATAGCTCAGCCCAATATTTGCTGCTGCAAGGACTGTGCTCAGACTCTTAGGAGGAAGATTAGTGTCCACAAGTTATTGCTTAAAGGATAAGTTCACCTTTTAGAAAAAAATAGTAAATGCACATTTTTTTGCAGGTAAAAAAATGTGCATTTATTATTTTTGTTTGCAGGAGCCTGTAAAGCATTGCACCAGTGATCAGAAGATTGCTGATGCCATGCAGGTCTCCTGCAGATCTGTCAGTATATCTGTTTGCTCGAACGGGATGTACGAGCAAGCGGATATAATGACTGGAAGAATCAATTAACTATCACGGCACTTCACAGCTGACAGCTAAGGCTGTCGGGACTTGTAGACTCTCATTCACAGATGACTGTGACTAAGTGATGTGGCCGTGTGGGCGGAGTCACGCACAATCGCGTTTTTTAAAACCCTTGCTAGCTGTCAAGGTGGGAATCGGGGGGGCAGGGGCCAGTCTGATCATAACATGTTACACCTTGAATATGGGTGTAACATGTTACGAAAGGTGAACTTATCCTTTAACATTGCTGGAGTATCCCACAGTTACCCTACACCCATCCACATTTAAGTTCTGCAATAATGCATTACAAAAGCATACTCCTTGACTGATTACTGAGACAAAAGCTTGACTGTGACTGTGCCTGTCTGTTGGTGCATCTACTGGGAAAGAACATTGCAACCTAAACAGCTGACTCCTTCAGTATAGACACACACACTCTCTCTATTGCTTCATTGCACATTGTTATCAAACACTGTACACATGGGTACATGATGAGAGGCCTGGGGTATGGCCTCATCAATAGGCTGCTTTCCCGTCATTGACCTATCACTGCTTGGGATGGGAGGTGACTGTAGGATGGGTTAGTACCAATATTTTGATTTCAGGAAGAGAAAGAAGATGAATAATGTTTTGTATATATTAACAGGAGCGGAAGACGGTGTGAAGTATATTGAGAAGATATTAGTAAAACACAAGGAAGCCATAAACTCTGTGAATGATTTATGTATCTACCTGAAGGAGCTAGAAGAGAAGCTGGAGGTATGCTTAGGATGTTTTACTAGTAGTTTTACTATTTGGTGGAGCAAATCAGGATCACTTTAAACCGCAGGTGCAAAATAGAACAGCCATGCTGGCAGGAGAGGGGACCTGAACTTTCTCTGCTGTAGGTTCAGTTTGACTTAGAAGTCTTATCTCCACTGGGCATTGAAGGAGAAGTAGCACACTGATGAGCTCAGGTCTGGAATTGCAAAACACCTGAATGGGTTCTTCTGCTGCTTTTCCCTCCCTCCATTAGTTCTGCTGCACAGACTGTACAGTAGACTACATGAGGTAGATACTAAGTCAAATTTAGTTACTTACACTGTTTAATTTGAAGAAATACAGATAAATATATATTCATTATTACAGGTTTGCACTAATTATTGTCTATTACTCCTGCCTGGAGCTTTAAAGTGGTTCTTCACTCTAGAGAAAAAACAAATCCTTTAGCTGCTGACTTTTTGTAAAAGGACACTTACCTGTCCAATGATCCAACTCCATCCTCACCCAAAGCTATTCTTTACTGGTCTTGGGAGTTCCCAGCACTGGCTTCTTTAGTCTGGGAAGCCAACTGTGACAGCTTGCGGCTTCACAAGCAGCTTCCTACTGCACATGCTTGAGCCGCGCTGCACTTTGTGAATGATCCTGCAGCCTTCTGGGACCTGTGACTTGTCCCAGAAAGCTGCAGGCAAAGAGGGCGATCTGAGCGGAAGTGGGACCTGTCAAATCTAGGTACCCACTCCCCACACAAAAAATGATATCCCAAATATGGTAGAGGAGGGGGAGGAGGACTTAAAGTGGAACTTACCCTTTTGGATGAAGTTCCACTTTAAAGTGGAAGTAAATCCACTTTTGTATCTTTTAGCAACAGGTAAGCTTATAATAAAGCTTACAGTACCTGTATATAAAATGAACATCTCCTAAATGTGCACCGTTTAGGAGATATTTGCACATGCACTTTGAAGGAATGGCATATACGTGCCGTTCCTTCAGAGCACTGTGCCGTGGCCAGGGACTCCTGTGCGCATTCGCTGGAGTGACGTCATCGCGGCGCGGGCAGTCAGATGGCCGGAGCTCATGAAGGAAGACCAGGTGAAGATGGAACCCCTGTCAGTGCTGACAGTGCGCGGCTGGAGGGCTTCGTTTTAAGGTAAGTCTTTCATAATGTGCTAGTATGTGATGCATACTAGCACATTATGACATTACCTTGCAGGGGATTTATATTTTTATTTTCAATTTATGGTTTACTACCACTTTATGTCTATGGCTTAGATTAGGATGTTGATGTCCGTTTAGTCAGGTAATTAACAGGGACCATAACTAATAATAACTTTTGATTTTAAAAGATACAAGAGACAGATAGGTAAGCCATCTAGCATGGCATTTTTAAAAATAACATAAAACTGCTATAAAATATTGAAAACAGAGTATATGCTAATTTACAGTGCCCAAAAATAGTCCAATCCTGGCCTCAATCCATGGGCCAAATACATTGCTCAGGTGAGAACTGGACTATTTGGGGCACTCTAGTGTGTTGAAAACAAAGAGTTTAATGCTGGACAAATAGTTATCGCTTAAAGAGCTTTTCTTTTTTCCACTTCCTCTTGTCAAGGAAATTATACAAAATGCTCTGGGGCATGCAGGGCAGAGAGTAGGCAGATGTCTTTGGGTTTATGATTCTCTGGAAGATAACTGCCCATCTATGCCCAGGCTTGGTTAAATTTTATGACAATAATTCCTCTCTTTTTTCCTCAAAGGAACCACAGAAAGTTCCAGAAAATTCCATAAGCGAAGAACATGCGGAAACTACAGATCCTCTTTTGTCTGCCAAAGATGGTAGTATACTTGTAAATGCAGAATTACAGCCTGACTTGCTAGCAGAAGAAGCTGTATCTGGTGATGAATATGAGTGTATATCCCCTGACGACATCTCCTTGCCTCCGCTTGCTGAAACTCCCGAATCCAACCTGCCCCAGTCTGAGACAGAGCAGGACGAGCAGAATTGTTACAGCTCCCATAACATGCATGTCAGCTCGTACAGCTTGCAAATGCAAATAAATGCCAGCGGCAAGAGGCTGGTGGATGGCTCAGAAAGGCTAACACCTGTCGCTTACACTGACTTGTCGAGTCACAGGAGAGAAAAGACTTCCAATTATGTTGAGAGGTTCTGTTCTCCCACTGTTGGATACAAAACAGAATCTCCTTTTTCCCACCACTCGACAGTAGTCAATGAAACATGCTATTCCCTAAGTACCTCACCTGCCAAAGCAAAACCCAGCTACCACCTGATGAACGAAGTGCATGAAACTCATTTGCAGCGCCGTTCTGTTTATGAGAGCACGGAAAAAACAGAACAATTGCATGCTTCTGATAATACTGCTAGAGCTAAAGATAGGCTGCATGTTACCCCAGATGAATTCTCTGGTCTCATGTTTCAATCAGACACTGCCAAGACCTGCCAGAGGCATACAGTTACCCAAGAGGCGACTAAAAGTGTTTCAGAAAAGCACAGCAATGTTAGCCCAGCAGGTCAGAGCCCTGGGTTCAGCAAGCACCTGTCTAATGTCACTGTTAAGGAAGGCTCTCCAGTGACTCTGGAAGTTGAAGTTACCGGATATCCAGAGCCTACTCTAACCTGGTGGGTAGCCTATAATCAAGAAAAAATATAGTGTAAGAATTTTTGGAGCGCTCCTTTGATTACAGTGTTTATGTGTTTTGTGTGTGTTGCCATAACTTTCCTGAAACTAGCCTTCAGGGATCTTCCAATGGACAGACGGGTTTCTGTGACTATGCCACCATGGACTTTTTCTAGTATGTGCCACATTTTATGACTTGACACCCAACAACAAAAGAATCAGTAGGTTACATTTTTTTTATACATGGATCACACCTTGGTGGGTCTGAGGAGGTAGATCTTATCCAGTTAGCAATGGAGGGGATCATGTGGAAAGTTGAAAATCTTTTTAAAGCAAGACTAAATAAACAGAGATGATGTGTTCATGAAAAAAGGTATCATATGGTGCCAGAACATACTGCTCAATACACAATGACCTTGCAGCCACGCCAATGTAATTGTATAGAAGCCACTTTAATGGAATAAGCATACTCCTAACCTCCTGAGTTTGTACCGAACACCATTTTGCCAACTCCAGGCAATTTCATGTGGAGGGTGGCAGGGGCCAAGATCATGAAATTCATGCTCTAAGAAAGTTCTTATTTGCAATTTGTAGGGCTAAGTAGCCTTCTGGATGAACAGAAGAGTAAATGAGCAATGTATCCTTGGCCCTATAGAGTGCATGCATTTATGTTCACATGTTGTATCTATTGTTTAGTCTAGCCATTGGTTCATTTAGGTTAAAAGAAATCCTTCCTTTTATTCCAAATGTGTGCACTTCCCATTTATTTGTTTTATTATTTTATGTCACACTACATTCCACAATTACATTTAATCCATAGTTTAGACTTGAAGATAACCTCCTAGACCACTGTGCAGTCAGTTCACAAAAGAATAAGGCATTAGGTGTTTTCATTCTCCTAAGCTATTTGTGCATTTTTACTATCTATTTTTGCAGCTCACTAAAGGAGTTATCACACAGATCAGATTTTGGGGTACTTTGCATGTAAAAGTCAATGCACTAACATTACTGCAAAGACTCAGCTCATTAAACTACCACCAACCACTCTCTGGTGGGGAACTATAGTTCTATAAACTGTGTCTAAAGAGACACTGACATTTTTCCCTTAAAATAAAAAGAAATTAGGTTTGTAGTAACTGAATAGCTACTTCTTGTAAAAAAAAAGAGGCACCATTTATGACAGTAAACTGAACATTTTTTGTGAGACAGATATCATGTTGTACGAGCATTTACAGAAAAAAAGACACCAACAGATTAGTGAATTGATCCCATTTATCTTTTGCAATATTACATATGTAGTGTCAAACAGGACAAATGGTCACATTTTTAGAAATCAGATTTTGAAAAACATGTTTTCACATAGCTTTGCTGGGGTGATGAATAATTTATTATACTAGCCAATGGTTCATGTCAGAGCTCTTACAAAAGATATTGACATGTGATACACAGATTTTTAATAAAGGTTGTTATTTAATCAGCTATGTGTTATATTTTTGTTTCTTGCAAATATAAACAGATATGGTTATGAACATCTGCAAGGCTATGGGATTTCTCTGTACTTTACAGAAATTTCCTTCCACTTCCTTTCTTATCTTTAAGACAGGAAATAAAGGGAAATCTCCCCAGTGGAGATGCATATAGTAACTGAAACCTTTCATCATTGTCCAAATTTAAGAAAAGAAAGAATTTCTAGTTGAAATTGTATTGCGAAGAAAAAATCTGTCCATTTTGGTTAAGTCCTTGGGAGGGGTCCAATAGCTAGACTCCTTTGGGCACTGTTGGGCATTCTTGGCACTGTTGTGCACCTATACTGCAAAAAACTAGACAAACATTTAGGCCAAGTACTGGTCTTGCACTATATTTAATTTTTACAGGAATAAAAATGACACTTGCATGAAGAGCATGATGCACTTAACCTAAAGCCAATGAAAGTTGATATATCTGATGAAATAGCCAGAATCAGGAACTTCATGGAGGGGGTCATCCAAAGTGCCCACGAGTTCTAGCAAGAAGGCTAGAAGATTTTTTTACTCAGCCAGCATTCCCTGGGCAGACTCACGTTATAATCAACCAATCAATTTAAAAAAAATTGGAAGCAGAGTGTGTTTCACAGCAACCAATTGTGTTAGCATTTGCTAAACCAACTGAAGTTGCCTTTGCTAACTTGTTTTTAAAGATGCATATTCCTTATCTTTGCTTCACTACTTGTGTATCACTGACCTGGAACAAATAGGTGTATATTCAATAGAGACTAGTCAGAGGTGCAGCCTAGATCTAGCCAACCAAAGGTTTTGTTTGATTTCCCAAATCCCATATATGAAGGTAGAGTCTTTGTAAACCTATTCAGCATAATTTGATCATTTAACCTTGGCAAAAAAATTCAAATAATTTCTGGCCATGCAAATTGTGCAATGATTAATACATATGGATAACTTAACCTTTAACATCTAGTATACAGAAAAAGTGAGCGCTACTAATAGAAATTCAAGTGAGCAGCTATTAGCACTAAAGATGATCACAACCACCTTTGATATAAATAAAATAAGCAAAGTGCAGCGCTACAGGACAATTTGAGAAGTTCGATCTCCAAAAAGTTCGATCAAAGAATTGATCTAAACACACACATAAATGTTCATAGGATCAAGCAAATGATAAATGAACACAGCTAAAATCGGATCCGGGAAATGGCAGGAATGCGCACTCACCGACCGCACATAGGAAATGCGCGTTTTATTATGTATCCAATCAAACGAGTACCGATATCCCACAGGGAGAGATGTCCTCAAACGATCTGCTCGGCTAATATGGTCTCCTTTTAACCCTTTCTTTATCAATAAATATTGGATATACTACACTATGGGTACTTTTCCATTTTTTACCCCCCCACTGAGGGGTCGGCAGACACAGCTACATATCACCCAGAGGAGGGATACCTGCACCTGGAAGGGACGTGTGCCGTGAGTGATCCATTCCAAACTAAGGAGACCATATTAGCCGAGCAGATCGTTTGAGGACATCTCTCCCTGTGGGATATCGGTACTCGTTTGATTGGATACATAATAAAACGCGCATTTCCTATGTGCGGTCGGAGAGTGCGCATTCCTGCCATTTCCCGGATCCGATTTTAGCTGTGTTCATTTATCATTTGCTTGATCCTATGAACATTTATGTGTGTGTTTAGATCAATTCTTTGATCGAACTTTTTGGAGATCGAACTTCTCAAATTGTCCTGTAGCGCTGCACTTTGCTTATGTTAACCTTTAACATCCTATCAGTTAAAAAAAAAACAAAAAAAACCTTCCACTGCTCAGAAGTGATGGGGGGCTAATTGGAAGATAACTGTCCCTACATTTTGTTCTGCAATTTGTAAAAACAGGTTTTATTACAGCCTGTGACATCATCACCAGGCTTGCCAAACTAGCTACTGGGAGGAGGAAACAGCAGAAAGCCCTGGGCCATTACCTATTGATTTAGACATGCTCTCCCCTGAACTAAAACTCACAAGAGCCCTTTCCCTTCTGCATAGGCATAATCTTTGAAGGCAAAGCAACAGCTGTTTTGCTGGGAAAAATTCAAGGTATTCATGGGGAGAGGGACTGAAAAAGAAGGCGATCTGTAGACGAGCATAGGAGGTCTCAGTACGGAGCTACCAATGCTTAGTTAATTACAGACAGCATTGCGAGCCCACAACAAGAAGTTAAGACACTATAAGGATCATCAGGTAATTATTTAGTACTTGAAGTGTTCTTAAAGGGATAGAGCATGGGAAATGGGCATATGTTGCAAACTTTAAAACGTTAATACAGACTTATTTATAAGTGTAGAAAAGCTATGCAGTGTTTTCTTTTATTTCCTAACTAGCACTTGGATAAGGGCTGGAATTTAGTAATTGGTTGTAGGACTTTACTTTTATACATTATGTCTACAGTAGTTTTCTAAAACGCAAGGGCTCCAGGAAAGACTTAAGAACACATACTAACATATAAAGATCAATTAGATGCTGTGGTGATCTAAAAAATATTATTATGAATCAGCATTTCTGATTTAAGATTACCTCTGAACATCTCTTAACATGCTAGAATTTTACAGTTTGAACCTGACCCAAATACTAACTCTCTGCTTCAGGTACAGAAGGAAAATGAAATACTCCAAAAATGATCATGAAATCAACAAGGGAAAGCAAACCAGTCGCACTTTCATCATTCAAGAGCTCTGTAAGGATTCTGATCAGTATATTGCTCACACCTCTACCTATAAAGCTTCCCTCAATTCTGCTGGTGAAGCAAAAATCAAAAGCATAACCCAACCAATTCTGGAAGTCAGCTGGATAACCTTGTTTATTATATATATCTGTGTCTTAGTAATGTACTGGGAATTTTCATAGCAAAACTTATCAGATGGGTCAAATACTTTTCCTGGTAATATCCAGTTATGATTAAGGATGTTAATTTTGAGCTGGAAAACTTAATGTTTAAGCCCAACCAAAGCTTTACTTTTTTGTAGTTTTTAGACATAATTTGTAAAATTGGAACTTTTACTGTTATCCAGGGCTTTGTTTTTGATACCTCCTCACTTTCTGTCATAGTGACAATGGTTTCATCTGACACAGAGATGTCAACTCAAAAGGTTTACCTGGGTGATACGGTAGGGGCACACATAGCTGCTAAAAGTGGGTTTGGTAATTTGCTTAAGGGACACGATAAATTTGAGTAAATGGTGTATTTTTTCATATAAACAGTTTAACAAAATAATCCCACAGATTTGCAGTATTCCTCCTATTTCCCAAAAGACTTTGCTCAGATCTGTGTCTGACCTATAGGGAGACCAGTGACCTT